CATCATATTTTTAATCAAAACCTAATTATTATGAATATTTATTAATAGGGGAATACACTTTTAACACGGTGCCAATCAAAAAGTTGCCGCAAATAAGTGTTGCCACGGTTCAAAGTTTTTCAGTTTTTCTTACTACTTTAAAGGGGTCCGGCAAAAATGCATCGTGCATCTGTAGCTTCTATAATTAAAAACTTAGGAATTTTGGATAAGTGCAGGCGTAAAGTATGTATTACGATGTATTTCAGGAAAAAAAAATTAACTTCTACAGGGTGACTAAAAAAGTGTGAGCGGATGGGGATGAAACAAAGGGATGAACCCTGTATATTAGTGCATTTTTGGCGTCTTTTCTGATCACTTTACATAATCCTAAGATATTATTAGAATGAAGAATTACATTCTACATTCTACAAGATATTATTAAATATATTTTGATAGTTTCAGAAATATTAATAAAAAAATAAAAAAAAATTATATATATATTTTTTAGCCATTCTTAAAAAAAATATTAAAAACACAAGAAATGTTGTGAAATAAAAACTATTCTAGGTATTCACTATAGTTGGTCTGGACTTACTTAGCTATAAATACCGTAATCTTGAACCATACAGAATGTTTTGATGATAACACTCTGTTATTATTTCTTCGTTAGATGGAGAATTAAAAGATTTAGAACATTTTTTGTATATAAAGCATTTTAGACTTTTTAGCGATTCCATTTAAAAAAAGAGGAAAAACTACTTTATATTTAATAAAGTTTGGTATAGAATTTTCAACACCCTGTATGGTTTCAGATTACGATATTTATAGCAAAGCAGTACTATAGTAAATACCTAGTATAGTTTTGATTTCAGGACATTTCTTGAATTTTAATTATTTTTAGCCAACCATACCAATAGGTATGGTAGGCTATTAAGATCGCCAAAAAAAGTTATATTAATTCCACCCAAAATGAGTTATTTGGGTCATAAATGACCTAAATACAAAATATTTTCATGGTGTCTGTCTCTCCGTCTGTCTGTGTGTGCGTCTGTAACACGATAACTCACAAACCGCTAAACCGATTTTAACCAAATTTGGCACAAAATACTGTGGCACCCGAGAATCTGGCTATTAGTTTTTGGTAGGGGTGGTGGGTTGGTAAGGGGGTATGGGAGGGGGTTAAAGATTTTTAAAAATCGTAACTCCAAAATTACATTAGCTAGCGAAAGGCGGTTTTCAATTTATGATTAGGAATATTATTTGCAACAAAATTTGTAATAACATCAAAATCAGTCAAAGTCGAAGTTTTTGAGATAAAAAAAATTGGAAAAATTCCTTTACTTTGAACTAAAAGAACTGCCTACCAACTTTTTATTAACATATTTTAGTATGGGCCGCTATACGTGCCTCCCGGCGCCATTTTTTTTTAAAAGACTGATTTTTTATTTATTTATTAATATCTTTGAAAACATATTTAATAATATCTTATTATATTGTACAGTGATCAGAAGGGAAGCCAAAAAATGCAATAATATTTAAAAAAATCATCCCGATCTACTCATACTTTTTTGAACCAGTTAAAAAAGTTAAAATATTTTCCTGAAATACATCCACATACTTCAGGTTTGCACTTATCCAAAATTCCAAGTAGTAGGAAAAAATTTGAACCGTGGCAACCTTTATTTGCGGCAACTTTTTGATTGGCACCCTGTAAAAGTGTTTTGCCCTATTCATAAATATACGTAAAAATTAGGTTTTGATTAAAAAAATGATGAGCGTAATAATGCTGCAGCCGGATCCCGTACTATTATTATTACACGTACATCACCTGACACGTTACTAAACAAGTTTGCGCGCGCCTTTATTTTTTCCTAAAAATTAATCCCCCCTAGATTTGTACCGATAAGCGATGTAAAAATTCATTGTTTATAGTTTGTTTTTTGTATTTCTGGTTCAGTTACGCGAGTGATTAGTAAAGAGCAATCGCTAGTCAACCGAAATTTTACGCAATTTGTTGAAAAATCGCTGTATTGTTACGATGAAAGTGAAAGGCAGTGATGTACTGTTTACATTGCAAACTTATGAAGTGAGTGCTTAAATCTAGTATAACTCCTTAGTTATTAGTAGTAATCAACATTTTTTAATAGACTTGTTATATTAATAGACTGTTTTTTTAATGTTTCTGTGTTATAGACTAAACTTATGTGTTAGAGAACTAAACGATTCCTCGAAACGAAATTGATTAATAATAATAATATACGTTTTAGCATTACTTAGTAGAAGAGCTGCTTAAAAAACGAGACATATTATACATATTATAATAACAAATGCTTTTTATACAGGACGAGCCGGAAATAAGTGCAGATATTTTTAGGGATAGTATATTTCGATGGCTTCGACTCCAGAAACACGTCTATGACTTTCTTTTCACGAAAACTTTTTTTAAAAATTTATAATTTATAATTATAAATTTTTAGAAAAAGAATTTAGATTATTGTTTGTTTCTTAATTATAAAAAAAAATAATCTCTTGATGGCAACATAGGTAGTAGATTAATATGTAGCAATTAGAAAAAAAAAACAGAAAAAATTCAGTGGTTCTCAAAATGATGAGCAAAATGTAACTTTTTTTTAATTTTTAACGTAAATGATTCGGTATTTTGGACTTAAAAAAGGGAACTTTGAATTTTGGAATTCAAAAACGGTATAGTATGTTTCATTTATCGAGATCTACCGACCCTGTGAAAATATTTGCATATATTTAAGACTCACCCTGTATAGACATTTCGTCGTGTATACAGGGTGTCCCAGAAATAAGTGCAAGTATTTTAAAGAGTGGTAGATCTCGATAAAAGGAACATATTTTCTCTTTATCGTTTTTCAAATAAGTCTAAAATAACGAAGTTATTTTACTTTGGAAATTTCCAATAAAAAATGATTTTTTGTTAAAATTCTGAGAACTGGATCTTTTCTGGATTTTCTTTGTTGTAAATTTAATCTAATACCTATATTGCCATATTATCAAGAAATGATATTTTTTAACTACAAACTAAAAAAAATTCCAAAAAAATTTTCACGAAATTTCGAGTTTTCAAATTTTTTTTTCGCGAAAATAAACCTCATAGGCGTGTTACTCGAGTTAAACTATACTACCAGTTAAAATACTTGCACTTAATTCTGAGGCACCCTGTATTGTGTATTAAAAAAAGTTTATGAGAGCGGATAGACGAAGAAAAATTTATGAGAGCGCTTATTGAGCGCTTTAAGTGAAACGAATGTTAATCTGATCTACTAAAGCAAATAATTTAGCCTCAATTTATTAATTAGTTAGTTATTGAAGGGAAAAAAGAAAGATATTATTTTATTTCAATATTAAAGCCTATCTAAATAGTAATCTTATCTTAAATTTATCAACAAATGTTAATTTTAGATAGGAAGCTCAGTAGAATTTGTTATTTCTCTGTGGCGAAGAGTATATTAGAAACATATAATTTCAAAATAAAAGATACTAGGTATTTGTTATCACATACATAACTTGCCATATTATTTGAAATATACATATGTTATCGAATTGTCTATACAAGAGGAAACACTTTTTTATTATTGACATTTTGAGAAAAATCCATTCTTCATAAACTTTTTTGCTTAATCTAAAATGGTTAATCCCGTGTATACTTTTTAAACTGAAAAAAAGATTGGGGTCCGTCAGACCCCAGCACGCCATAAGCGTTACAAAAATTCACAACGCAAGTTGAGGGTTAAGATAATTGTTCAATTTATTTTTCAAAAATACAAAAAATTCAACATTTATAAAAGAGTTTCATTTAAAAAATAATGAAGTTGGCACCCACTTTCAGTATATTTTTACATTATATTTGACAAATAGAATAAAAACGATGAACGATAAATGACTCACTGTGATCTTTGTGTTTTGTCTCCGTGATTCTAAACCTACTGGATTTTAAGAAGAATATGTATGTTTTAATTTTTTATGTGTTTCCCTTAAAGTGGCGACTTCTAATGTAATTATTTTACTGCAGTGATCAAATCGCGTCAAAGAGATGTATAATGTAGAACTGCGACTTTAGAAATCTATTGTGTCCCCCTTTTCTTGAGTTATAGCTCATCATACAGTCTATAACACATCATACATGGGGATTTTCCTGTTGAAGAGGTTCTTCCTCCGAGGAGTGAACATCTACCTTTTACGACGGTATACACCCTTGGTATATACCCTTCCACGGTTGGGGTTTGACCAGCCGTGCCCTTCACAGTCGAGGAACTTGTCTCCGGCTGAGGTGCCCGTGAGGTGGAGGTTGAAGGATCTGTCTCCATTTTCTCCTCCTCATTAACTTTACCGGTGTTGCCCGAATCTATAATAGAGGATAAAGCTCTCTTTTTCTATTTCCAACTTGGATTTGAGGTCAATTCCTATTGTGAAGCCCTGACTATGGCCCTCCTTCCTCGAGTTGATGACTCGCCAACTCGATGTCCGTACATTGGAGTTCTGAGCCTGGATAAAGGCTCAGCATGTAGATTGTGTCTTTCCCTTTGCTCCTCGGTAGATAGACCGTGATGGTCAAAGAGATGGTTTAATGAATATTGTGTCTGAAATTTTTTATTATGTATAATATAAAATTTCATATAAAATAATGTCTTGTGTACTTCTTACTAGATGTATAATATTTTAATAAACTTATTTTTTTCCTATTGTTATTTGTTGTTACAATTTGTAAAATTGACTTTTTACGCAATACGATAAAATTGCATTGTTCCTAGAAAAAGCGATTTTATGCTTTCGTAATGATTAAAGCTTGAAAATATTACATTACCCTTATTAAGTTTCGATTTTTGCGGAAAATTATATATTTTCGTTCGAAAAGCGTAACCGTTAGGTGAAATCTATTTTAAAACCTCCATAGTCAATAGTTATCTATTAGGTACAGTGATTTTAAAAATATTATCTGTTAAAATAATATATTTCCGATAGTTAATTATAACTGGTCACATTTTAATTTTCAGGATCGCATAAACAGTAATATCAGCAACAATGAATTGTCGCATAAACTATCTGAAAGATTGCTCACTTTACAAAATGAAGATAAAAACGAATCAAAAAGACTGAATTTAACTCAAATTAAATCCACCAATTGCACACCACCACTGCCACCACCTGTAAGTATTATTATTTATCTGTTTAGTAGAATTAAGTTGGGGATGAACGGATGAAGTATTTCATATTCATTTGGGCAAAAGATAATGTCAATACATCTGTGGCTGGTTCATTTCTTGAAAATATTTCTGTATATTTTGCCACTAAAAGGAAAATCTACAAAATAAAATATACTATATAGGGGTGTCCCAGAAATAAGTACAAATATTTTAACTGGTAGTATATTTTGAACCCAGAAACACGCCTAATAGCTTGATTTTCATGCATCCGTTGTCCGACGATACGTTGATACGATATTAATTTCATTGGTTGTATTTTAAGGCTTCGATTGGGCAACCGTTTCTAACCAATCGAAGTCTTTAAATTCAACCAATAAAATTAATATCGTATCAACGTATCGTCGGACAACGGATGCATGATAATCAAGCTTCTAATTTCCGTTTTTCGAGAAAAAAAAATGAAAATTTGGAATTTTTAAAAAAAAACTGATTTTTTTTAGTTTTTAGTTAAAAACATTATTTTTTGATAATACGGCAACATAGGTTATAGATTAAACTTACAAGAAAACCCAGAAAAGATCCGGTGGTTCTTAAAATTTATGCAAAAAATATTTTTTTTGCATAACTCGATTATTTTGGACTTATTTGAAAAAGGGTGAAGAGAAAATATATGTTTCTTTCATCGAGATCTACCACCCCTTAAAACATCTGTACTTATTTCTGGGATTCCCTGTATATCTATTTTTTGTAAATACCACAGCGTCGATCAAACGGAGACGGGCTTGTCAGTGATATTTTACTAATAAAACATATTTGCCTAAAAGACAAAAAAGCGTAAAGTTTCAGGAGTGTCAGGAGGTAAATAAAACTATCCAATAACATAGATACGTCTATTATAGACTCTTGACGTTCTGTTGTTTTTACAGGGTGTCCCATAAATAAATGCAAGTATTTTAACTGGCAGTATTTCAACCCCAGAAACGCCTATGGGGTTGTAATTAAACTTTTTGAAAAATTTTTTGGATTTTTTTAGTTTTTAGTTTAAAAAAAATAATTTCTTGATAATAGGGCAACATAGGTATTAGATTAAATTTACAAGAAAAAAAATCCAGAAAAGATCCAGTGGTTTTCAAAATTTTAGCAAAAAATCATTTTTTTGGAAATTTTCAAAATAAAATAATTCCGTTATTTTGGACTTATTTGAAAAACGATAAAGAGAAAATATGTTTCTTTTATCGAGATCTACCACCCCTTAAAATACTTGCTCTTATTTCTGGGACACCCTGTATAATGTCATTTTAACAAAACGTCAAAGGATTATAATAGACTTAAAAAATGTTTCTTTAATTAGATATTTTAAATAATTTATTTCTTTGTTTTTGTGTTATTTTTTACTTCTGACGACGCGCGACGCGACAGGAGGAGGTATATCACCTGAAATATTAAACTTTTTGTCCATTGGGCAAATTTGGTTCATTAATAAAATATCACTGACAAATTGATCTCCGTTGGACGAACGCTGTGATATTTACAGAAAAGGATTTTTATTTTGTAGATATTTTCGTATATAGATTAGATTACGAATTTCATCCCGTCATATTGTTTTTGCAGAAAACAGCTGAAATTCGGATGCATGAAGTAGATTTAACAGGTTAAATTTTGTTATGTAATTTTTAATCTACAGGGTCCGGCAATTGCGCATTGGGCGTCTGCAGCTCCTAGAATTTTGTTAAATGCAGACCTAAAATATGTACTATAATGTATTTCAGGAAAATATTTTAGCTTCTACAGGGTGGCTCAAAAAAGTGTCAGTAAATTATTTTTTTTTAATGGAATAGCCTGTATATTATTGCATTTTTGGCTTCCTTTCAGATCACTTTACATAATCCTAAGATATGAGTAAGTATATTTCGATAGTTTCATAGATATTAAAAAATAAATAAAAATTATTATTCAGCCTTTCTTAAAAAAATATTACAAATACAAGAGCAACTGTCCTAAAATCAAAAGTATATTAGGTATTTACTTTAGATAGTCTAGACTTACTTTATACAAATATCGTATTCTTAAATCATACAGGGTATTTAAAATTCTCCGCCAAACTTTCTAAAATATAAAACAATGTTTCTTCGGTTTTTTAAATGGAACACCCTTTTTTTCACTAGGTTTATTAGATAGAGAATTAAAACATGAAAATCTTTTGTACTTTCAAAATTTTGAAGGTTTCGCAGATACTCGCGGTATTATTTGATATGGATCTTTGGTAAAATATGAGAGAAATATCAATGGGTGGCTTTGATAAAAATTTACTGAGGAAAATGGTATATGAAATATAAAACCGGTGAATATCTGCGAAACCGTTACAAATTTTAAAATATTCTAAATACAAAAAATTGTCATTTTTTTAATTCTCCATCTATTAAAAAAATAATAGGTATATAGTGTTCCGTCACAATTAAAGTAACGAAGAAAATTATTTTATATTTTAGAAAGTTTGGCGTAGAATTTTGAACATCCTATCTGATTTAGCAAAGTAAGTATAGACCATCCAAAATAAATACCTAATATAGTTTTTATTTCAGGAGAGTTCTTGTGTTTTTAATAATTTTTTTATTTAAGGCCGAAAATATGAATTTTTTATTTATTTATTAATATCTCTGAAGCTATCGAAAACTATTTTCCCATATTTTAGAATTATGTAAAGTGACCTCAAAGGAAGCTAAAAATGCAATAATATGTGTTCTAATAGGTGCTCTATTTAAAAAAAATTATCCCAATCCACTGCTACTTTTTTAAGCCACTCTGTAAAACTTAAAATATTTTCCTGAAATACATCCTAGTACATACTTTAGGTTTGGCCTTAAACAAAATTCTCAAGTTTTTTATTATAGGAACTACATATATGTCCGACGCACCTTTGGACCCTGTATGTAATTCAAAATAATAACTAACGCAAAAATTAGATTTCCTTTCAAGTAAAATTCCATATGATTAGTACTTTATCTGTGACACTATATATTAATTTAAGCAAGAGATCTTCGTTGAGACAAGTTTATTACGAAAATTCATTATCCAAGATAAATTTGTGATAAAAAAGCTAATTTCAGCGTTTATTATCAATAACTTTGTGTTCGATGAAAATGTGTTATATATTTTATACAGGGTTGTTCACCACAAACGACACGGAGTATTGTAGCTAAACGATTAGATTTTTGAAAGTTGTAAGTTATGTTGAAGGACTATTAGAGCTACAATTTAAAAATATTTAACATACAGAGTGTCCCAAATAAGTGAAAAATATTATAGTTGTATTTTTTTAAACGGAACACCCTATATATTCATCTATTTTTAAATTCTGCGATTGAAATAAAGGTAAATTTGATTAAGGTTTATGACTCTTAAATCTTATCGTTTTTGAAATATTTTTTTGAAATTACAGTAAAAAATTTAAGGCTTTCTCCAAGGGTGTCAAAGTTTTTAATACTAAATATTTACTGAAGATTATTAATTGATTAGATATTGTGCTGCAATAATAAAAATTATACCACCTTATACGGAGTCTCCAAAATTTATAATAAATAATTACTACTTTTAAACGTCAATAACTTTATTACTTTATATTTTTTATATTATTGTATATTTTACGTGAATCAGATGCACAATTTAATTGTCTATCAAATTGTATTATACCATTTTTCACCTATATCTTCAAGTTTTCGTAGGAAATGCATTTTCTTCTAATTTAGACCTCATTTATCACTATACCCATGGAATATTGACATTTTAGATTTCTTTAAAGCAACACATGTATAAAATGCACAGGTGGTAAAAATAATGATATTGCAAGCCTATTTTTTACAAAAAGAAAACTATTTAAATCTTTGTAAAAGAGTATACACCTAGCACTGAGGTGTGGCAGCTGGCATCTCAGAACTGTGCACAGGCATGTGTTATGGAAACTAAACGGCTGTGCAACGGACATCAAACGGCGCGATGGGAACCATTGGAACGGCGTTTGAACAGCGGTGCAGAAAGCCCTGGAAAACTACTGCACTATGATTCCAAGAATGACAACCATGGCAGAAGTACAACAGATGATGGCCCCTAGTCCGTGGCAGGCTTTCAATAGCCAAGGGGTGCTAAGAATACCCACGAAGAAAAATGCTAGGACCCACCCGAAAGTGGACACATCTCCAGGTCTTAAGCTGGGAACCTGGAATGTAAGAAGCCTGTATGTGGCTGGTAAGCTGGATAATTTAACACAAGAAATGGAACGCTGTAAGGTAGATATAATGGGCCTAAGCGAAATCAGATCGCCGAACAGCGGCCAATGTACAACCGAAAAAGCAACACTATACTACTCCGGAAACAATCAACCTAACCGCTTTAATGGGGTTGGATTCATAGTCAATAAAAACGTGAACAACAAGGTAAAGAATTTTGTGGCATATTCGGATAGGTCAGCCCTCCTGCAGCTCAAGGCTGATCCCGTAGATCTTAACATCATACAGATTTACGCTCCAACGACAGACAGGCCAGAAAACGAAGTAAAACAACTATATAAGGAAATAAAAGAACTAATGAAACTGGTGAAGAAGAGGGAGATCCTGGTGGTTATGGGTGACTTTAACGCCAAAGTCGGTCAAGGCCGCGTGACAGACGTGGTCGGGGAGTATGGCTTAGGAGAACGCAATGAAAGAGGTGACACGTTAGTTCAGTTTTGCCAAGAAGAAAAACTGATCATCGCAAACACATGGTTTAAACTTCCCCCAAGAATGCTATACACCTGGCAGTCACCGCAACACACACCAGATTATGTCGTCAGGAACCAAATGGACTTTCTATTAATCAGCCAAAGATATAGAAATGGATTAAGTGGAGTAAAAACATATCCAGGGACCGATATTGGATCGGACCACAACCCGGTAATAGGAACACTAAAGGTAAGACTAAAGAAATTAAGACGGGCGCCGAGAAAGTCGACATGAACAAATTAAAGAAAGCTGAGATAAGAGCGGAAGCAAAGGAGGAAATAAATAGGGAAATTGCCAAAATCAGGACCCTGCCTCAACCACCGGATGATGTCGGAAAAACATGGGACCGTTTGAAGAACGCAATAGTCACCACTACAAATAACATAGTTGGACCACCTACATACAAAAGGAGGAGATGGATGACTGACGAGATTTTGTCGCTGATGGCTGAGCGCGGTCTGTGTAAGAATAGGGATCAAACCAAGTACAAAGAAATTGATAAACAAATCAGAAGGGAAATACGCAGAGCTAAGGAGCAGTGGATGGAAGATAAGTGCACTGAGATCGAGACAATGGAAGAAAAGCATGACCACTTCAATATACACAAGCTCGTAAAAGAAACAACAGGACGTACAAAACATTACAAGTCAAATAGTATAAAAGATGACAGTAACGAACTCATAACTGACATTAGCAGCCTACTGAACCACTGGAAAGAATACACCGAACAACTATTCCGCGAAAATGAACAGAGAATCTTTACGGATAATTGCGCTGGCGAAACCGCACCCAAAATACTAAAGTCAGAAATCATAAAGGCCATTAAACAGGGAAAACAGGGAAAAGCAGCAGGACCAGATGAGATTTATATAGAAATAATAAAACTGCTGGACGAGGAAAACATTGAAGTCTTGGTGCAAATGTTCAACAACATATATGAGTCGAGTCAAATACCACAGGACTGGCTACACTCGGTGTTCGTACCCTTACCAAAAAAACCCAATGCTGACCACTGTGACCAGTTTAGAATGATCAGCTTAATGAGCCAGGTCTTAAAGCTCTTCACAAAAATAATTCACGGAAGAATATACAACAGATGTGAAAAGGAGATCAGCACCACACAGTTTGGGTTTAGACAGGGATTTGGCACAAGGGAAGCATTATTCAGTCTGAGTGTTCTTCTTCAGAAGTGTCGAGACCAGCGAAAGAATGTATGCGTGTGCTTCATAGATTACCAGAAAGCCTTCGACTGTGTCAACCACTCGGAACTTATAAAACTTCTAGAGGAGAAAATGGTGGACAGGAACGACCTGGCATTCATAAAAAAGCTTTACTTAAACCAGATAGCATCGGTGAAGGTAGGAAATGAAACCACCTCTAGTTTTCCAATAGAGAAGGGTGTAAGACAGGGTTGTGTCTTGTCGCCTCTCCTCTTTAATTTGTATTCGGAGGCCATTTTTGACAGTGCCTTAAAGGACACAGACGACGGCATAAAGATCAACGGCTACGCGGTTAATAACCTTCGCTACGCTGATGATACAGTCATCATTGCTGATAACCAAGAAGCATTACAGCGACTTATCGATAGAGTATCCGCGGAAGGCGAGCGACTCGGTTTAAAAATCAACATCGATAAGACGAAGACTATGATGGTTGGCAGAACCCCGATCGACCGTCTAAACATCTCGGTGAACGGCCAACAGATTCAACAGGTCCCGAAGTTTAAGTACCTCGGCAGCTGGATTACCGAAGACCTAGATCCAGACACGGAGATTCGAAGCAGGATCGAACAAGCCCGAGCAATATTCACGAACATGAGAACTCTGTTGAGTAACCAAAGCCTGAGTCTACGCCTACGTTACCGTTTTGTAAAAGGCTACGTATACTCAGTACTACTATATGGCGTGGAGACCTGGACCCTCAAGGCAAAAACTATGAACCGACTAGAGGCCTTTGAGATGTGGATATTTCGAAGATTGCTCAGGATTCCTTGGACTGATCGCGTGAGAAATGACGAAGTTCTGCGACGTATGGGAACGGAAAGAATGTTGCTTCAAATAGTTAAAAAACGGAAAACAGCTTACTTGGGCCACATATTTAGAAACACCAAATATCAATTCCTGAAACTGATTATGGAGGGGAAGATTGAAGGAAAACGTGGCATCGGAAGAAAGAAGTATTCTTGGCTTAAGAACATCAGAGACTGGACTGGTCTCGATGCCCATTCACTCTTTAGAGTCGCCCAAGATCGAGACGAATTTGCCAGAATTGTCGCCAACATTCATTAAATGAATACGGCACACTAAGAAGAAGAAAAGAGTATACCAATTAATTATACCACCATTATATCCGCCCAAAAATTAGTTAATTACATTATTGAATTGTTTTAATTAATAAATTATTCTAAATAAATGTGGATTTGACCCAGAAATCAATATAATAGTAATTTATGGAAATGAAAGTCTCTGTTGTTATAAATAAGCATTCGTCAAAAAATGAAATAAAATTTGTAAGGTGTTACTTTTTACCACACTGTCTAATACAACAAAGTAACACATACAAAATTCAATTTTTTAGTATTAGGAGTAGTTATTATTAATCATCGTAAACAGTCAATTAATGTAGTTTGAATACTGAGATCATATTAATTGGTCCTCTTTAACAAAAAATATTTAAACAGTTTTTTAAAAATTTTTAGTGAAATAAGCGAACTATATGGACAATATTAGTATATGGTACCCTTTGAAAATTTGTTACATCTTTAAAAATAATCTAAATTGTCAATATTGCATGGGTATAGTGATAAATGAGGTCTAAATTATAAGAAAACGCATTTTCTACGAAAACTTGAATCTATAGGTAAAAGATGATATAATACAGTTTGATAGACAGTTGATAGACAGTTGTGCATCTGATTCTCGTAAAATATACAGGGTATTCCATTTAAACTAAATAAGTTACTGCCGTTTAAAGCTAGTAATTATTTAATATAAATTTTTAGACACTCTGTATATGGTAGTATTTTGTTTATTATTGCAACATAATATCTGATCAATAAATAAACTACAGTAAATATTTAGTATTAAAAACTTTGATAGCCTTGGAGAAATGAAGCCATAAAATTTTCAAAAAATTGAAAATATTTCAAAAACGGTAAGGTTTAATTGTAATAAACCTTAATCAAATTTACCTTTATTTCAATACTAGAATCTAAAAATAAAATAATATACATGGTATTCCATTTAAAAAAATACAACTATAATATTTTTTACTTATTTGGAACACTCTGTATCCTGTAAAAATATTTTTAAATTGTAGCTCTAATAGTTCTTCAACGAACCCAAAACTTACAATTTGTAAAAATCTAATCGTTTAGTTACAATACTCCCTGTCGTATATGGTGAACAACCCTGTATATTATTGTGATTAATAGTTTTATAAGTTTTTGAGATAGAAACGTAATTGTTACTACGAATATATAATATTTACAGCCACCAGAGAAAAATGCCAACTTTAACAGCAGTACCATTTCAACTCCAGCATCGTCCATTGCTTCATCCCGAACAAATACGCTCAAGCAGTTGAAAACTAACACAAGGGCTCCTCCAGTACCTACGAAATGCTCAGTTCTTTCGTATAACCAGAATCGAGTGCATACCAATCAGCCTCCTCCGTGTCCTACCCCGGATTACGACACATTGAGTCTTGCCAGTACCGTTTCTAGTGGCGCTGCAGTGTTTAGGCGACCTGTTAGCCAGAAAATCCTCAAAGACAATAATAAGGAAATGCAGCCTACAGATTCTTATAAATCTAGCAATTCGTTGGACATTATGCCTAAGCATCCAAGTACAAATTGTGCAAAAACTAGTACCATTAGAAAGTCAAGACCTATAAGTGTGACGATTGGGGAATATCCGTCCATGAGAAAACAACCGGGTAAATTGGATTTTATTCAGAATGGCGGGAAAGACAGTTTAGACGTGAGACAAGATGAAAGTTTGGGTAGTCGATTGACATCGGAACTGACGCAGACCTTGAATAGGTCAAATCTTAGAAAACGGACAGAATCAATGGTAAGAAATCAATGGTTTAAAGTTATTTTGAGTAGGGAACTTTACTAGTATAAATAATAATAATAAAATTTTCCATATCCAAAAAAGACAAAAAATATAATTATTCGTCTCTGAATTAAAATGGTAAAATATACAACTGTCATTGTCGGGAAACCTCTCTTTGGACAGACTTCACGACACAGTTGTAATTCATGATATATACCTGGTGGTGTTTTCTCAAAAGTGGCTCATCCCTGTAACTTTTTTATTTTTTTAGATAAAAATACGAGATTTGGTACGTTAGTATATCACATAAATTAGGACTGATTGATATATGCGATTGTTTTCGGTCACTTCCTGTTTCACCAGAAATTACTACAACTTTTGATTTCATTTATTCGATAGAAAGTGACACTCTAAATACAATGACATATTACAACATGTCAACTTTTGATATTTTCGCTTTCAAAAAATCGTGTTTTAAATTTCATCTCGAGTGCCATGGTTGTGTTAAAAACATTAATTTGTAACCAAATAGCCTTGGAAAAATAGATTTGATCGTCTAATGTTTTTCGTGGCTTGTCCTGACCGGTTAAAAGGTGTCCAAATCATATTTTCAATCACAACTCAATTTTTTCAAATGGAACGAGGGTGGCTCATTACATATTTGGAAAAAGTAATCTTTTACGAATAATTTGTTGAGCCACTTTTGAGAAACATCCGTTTGTTTTAACTTAAAAGGCAACAAGATTATAAAGGAACATAAAGTAATTAATTCAATAGGGTTTATTTTTTATTATTTCCCTCATCGTGAAATGGACCAATCAGCTAATCTAATTTTTCGAATAAATTTTGTTTAGATAAGTGATTAAATCCCAAGACCAGTTTAACCGCGATTATTTTTTCGGCTTCCTTTTGGGTTTTCTTTTTGTCGTTTATCACTAATTCTGAGAGATTTTGGCAACAGTTCATTTAAAAACAATGATTTACAACTCAATATGTATGACTTAATAACGATTGTAATCGGTGAAAACCCCTTATTCGATATTATTTTGAACAAATAAGTGGAGAAAAATACGTCAGAATTTGATATGTTGACATGCGAAACGGTTCTCGATGCATTGTTGGGTTAGGTTAGGTAACCAAGGTAGCAGAAGAACAAACATTACTTACGAGACGTCATTTTGAAACATTTTTGGAACGTCTTTAAATTTTATTTACCTCTGTAATTTGTTGTTTGCAAAAAAATGTTGTCTGAAAATGTTAAATTTTATAGTTAATAAAATTCTTATAATTATTTGCTTCATCCTAAGTCACTCGCTTCATTCTAAGTCATTCAGGAAATAATCTAGCCGTATATCACTCAACCTATAAATTTAATTGATTAAACTATCCAAATAATTTTTTGCATGATTTTGCTTTTTAGAAAATAGTTTGCTTTTTAGAAAATATTTTTTTAAAACTATTTTCCAAGCAAAATCAGGCGCAAAATATATATGAATAGTTTAATCGATTAAATGTATAGGTCTCGTGATATAATATATGATTAATTACCTAGACCTAAATTTGCCCAATTGACAAAGTCCCACCATAGTTAAGAAACACACACATTCCTATTTTTATTAATTTGACACCTCTCGTAGTCAAAATATCAAAGAATGTAAATCAAGAACAATAATTCTTTGGGAAAGATGATAATCTAATGGTGCGTTTAGACTTGAGCACGCACGAGCTGAGCGTGCGCGCACGGCATTTGTTCGCGGCTCCGTTCAAATTAAAAACTTATTTTTCGACGAATGAAGTGATCCATTTGTGCGCGCACAGCAGAGTTGTGTTGGCGAAAATAATGGACGACCAAGAAATAGTCGAGGCTGCAGTCATTGTTATGCACAGCTTAATTATTAAAAAGAAGAAAAATCGAAAACATCGTCGCTGATGGCAAACACAAATTTTTAGAAATCGATACAATTTACTGCAACAACTTAGTGTCTGAGGAGGGCTATGATCAGTTCAAAAACTTTACAAGAATGACCAGGCCCGACTTTGAATATTTACAAAATTTAATAACACCAAAAATTACGAACAAAAGATACAAATTTTAGAATAGCAATTTCATTAATATCGACATATTCAATATTAATTTCATTTACAAGGTCTTGCCATGCGTTATTTTGAGCCGACCATACTAATAGGTATGGTAGGCTATTAGGATCGGCAAAAAAAAAATTTTTAATTTCACTCAAAATGAGTTATTTGGGTCATAAATGACCTAAATACAAAATATTTTCATGGTGTCTGTCTGTCTGTCCGCTGAACCGATTTTAACCAAATTTGGCACAAAAATACTGTGGCACCCGAGAATCTGGCCATTAGTTTTTGGTGGAGGTGGGGGGTTGGTAAGGGAGTATGGGAGGGGGTTAAAAATTTTAAAAAATCGTAACTCCAAAATTACAGTAGCTAGCGAAACGCGGTTTTCAATTTAAGATTAGGAATAATATTTGCAACAAAATTTGTAATAACATCAAAATCAGTCAAAGTCGCAGTTTTCCAGATATTAACATATTTTAGTATGGGCGGCTATACGTGCCTCCGGGCGGCAATTTTTTTTTTATTTTTTAATAATACAAAAAATGTTTAACATCCCATAATATAGGCAACTTTTTATATTCTTCAATTAATAATAACGAAGATTCATTGATCCACTTCATAATTTTAATAAAGAAAACGAAAAAAAATCACACACGCACGCACGAACGCAGACAAAACAAATTGCCGGTCCAAACTGAGCGTTCGCGCACACATAAAATCCCTTCGAGCACGACCAAAAACCGAGACCAGACGGCTCACGTTCGCGGCTACTCGCGCACAGAGAGATTCAGAGTGAACGTGCGCGCACAGCCGTTTACACTTGAGCATTCGCGGAGGATCAGTGCGTGCGTGCTCTAGTCTAAACGCACCATAAGATCTAAATATTATATAAAAATTATAAACCTTATTAGTTTATACATTTTTACTTTTTTTTCTTTTAATTAATAATGAATACAATTTGTCAGGAAACAAAAATTTAGATTATCTATAAAAATTGTATAGTCAAGATATGATGAAGTTAAATTGATAATTAATCGCTTTGTGATAGATATTTTTTTATAAAAAAAGTAACCACACCGTAACTGAATATCTATACTAATATATAAAATCCTTAAGTGACTGACATACTGATTAATCACGATCCTGCTCAAACCACTCAACGTAAGAAGCTCAATTTTGGCATACAGGTTGATTCTAGGGTGTAAAGGTTCGATAAGAAGGGATTTTTCGAAATTCCAGTTCCAAGGGGGTGAAACCAACCCTCAAATATTACAATATTTTTTATTTAAAAAACGGTCAAGTTTCCGAAAAAACGCTTAAACACGTATATTTTATTTTGTTTTTTTACATATTTTAAGATTTTTTTAAAAATGTACACAGGGTGTTGTAAAAATCTGGTCATTGATTAATCACGATCCTGCTTAAGGCGCTTGACGTAAAAAGCTGACTTTTGGAAAACAGATTTACTTTAGGGTGTAGAGGTTCGATAAGAAGGGATTTTTCGAAACTCGAGTTCTAAGGGGGTGAAACTATCCCTCAAATATTAAAATATTTTTTATTTAAAAACCGGTGAATTTTTCGGAAAAACTCTTAAACACGTATATTCTATTTTGTTGTTTTACATATTTTAAGATTTTTTAATTAATAATTTTTTACAGGGTGTTTCATAAAATATGACCATTGAGTAATCACGATTCTGCTTAAACTGCTTGACGTTTAAAGCTGATTTTTGGTAAACGGATTGACTGTGGGGTGTAGAGGTTCGATAAGGAGGGGTAACGGGGGCTTGACGTAAAAAGCTTATTTTTGGCAAACGGATTTTTCGAAAGTCAAATTCCAACGAGATGAAACTACCCCTCAAATATTACCAAGTTATATAATAATATCGCCATATTGTTTTTTCTTATGCTGACATAAATGTGAGAAAATTTTATCCAGTTTGTATGTTAATGGAAATTCTTGCTTTTCTTTATCATCACCATTACAAATGATTAATTCGACGCGAACGAAGTCGCTGGTACACGCTAGTACTAGTATAAATGAATATGTGAAAAAAAGTCTGGGAGGTAATTATTTTTTTAAACATACGGACGGTTTTTTATACAGAAATTTTCGATTTTTTTCAGCCAAAAAAATAGCCCTCAATTGCAGCTTTTTCCAGCAAAAAAATCACACCTACAATTTTCTCGCACTTATTGAATTATGTACTTTGAATTTCCAACCTGTATTATAATAAAACATTCTTATGGAAGTAAAATCTAAAATCTTACACTAATGTAGTTACATTAGTGTAGGATTTTAGGTTACGACTTCGTAATTTTTAGTTTTATGGATTCTGAACCAATAACAAAACCCTGTAGGTTTAAATATAAAATATATTTTGATTTTGGAGGTGTTTAGATTTCTACTAAAATAAATAAATGTTTTCAAACAAATATTATTTTCGAATATAAAAAGAAGTCTGATACAACACTTTTTATTATTCAAGTTCAAGAATTATTTAATTAAGATGGGTATTTACCTAAATAGAAATACAATATGATCGAGAAAAAAAAAACGGCGTTAGCGAAGGCTGGAAATGAAGATCGCTATTGTTTTATATATTTATAATTTATATGGAATGTCATTGATTGCGTCATTTCCAAGCAATCTAGACGCCGTTGTTTTTCGATCATATGATGTTTATTGGTACATGGTGATTAAACTTGCCTGCTGGTGATTTAAACGTGCCTCTGTCTGATACCAAGAAAATGATAAATTAAATTGCAAAACTGGTTCGTCGAAATAAGATTAGTTAAAATATATATTTTGAATATTTTTTTTTCAATTTTATTTTTTTAAATGTTGAACGTGACGTCATTAAAACTATTTTTCCGTAATGATAGCACTTTTTGGTCATAATTTGAAAGATTTCTTTTAATCAGCATTTATATCAAAAAATGTGTGTGCACTATATCCGCATGTTTGAAGTGAAACTTCTTACTAACTGCTATTAAATTGAAGGATCTGAAGGACATGTTTGAAAAAGTGTAGTTTGAAATGTTGAAAAAGTTATTACTTTTTATTTTAATTACATTATACAGGGTGTTTCAAAAAACATGTGCCATCTCTCGTGGGGAGATTTCCTCACGTAAAAATAAGATTTATTTTTCATACCAACATAGGTCCGATTTCCATTTATCCATGCTTTATTTTGTAGTTCCAGGGTGTTAAAGTTAAGATTTATTAAGATAAATCGAAAAAATCGATTTATTATAATCTTCTTCCAAGTATTTTTACAGCGCTTTCAGATGGAGCGGACCGTCCGCGCGTAAGTTTTTTCAAGATAGCTCATCCGGACGGAGCATACGCGACCTATGTGGAATTGTTCATGTAAACTCATGGTACACGGCGGACGGTCCGCTCCGTCTGAAAGCGCTGTTAGGGTTTCAAATGAAATTTTGAGGATAAAAGTTATTATAAATACGACATATCTTAATGCTAAAAAAGTGTCGATATATTCACCAGGGACGTGCATATGGGTTATTATTGGAATATTTTTCTAAAAATTGCATTTACGCCAATAACTTTTTTCTTTTGTTAGCGAAATAGTATAAGCAGTTTAAAGCCGATTAAAAATTGTCTCTTGATATTTTTTCGATTTCGGCCTCCTTGATGGGATAAAATCAATTTTATTAATTTGCCTTGATCCAAGTCTAATAGCAACCTTTTACAAATTTTAATATCATTAACTTGTGAAAGTTTTAAATAAGTACTCATTGATTCCTCATGAAAGAAAATATGAAAAGAAGTTCCTATAAACATGGGTAAGGAAATGCATAGTTTTAGAGTTACAGGACGTTCAAACTTTTTAAAATTAGATTTTTTGTAATTATCTTAAATACCACTATTTTTTTATTTGAAATTGCTGTAGGATGGACTAATAGTAATAATATTTAATAATAAATTAGGTAAAATATATAATTTATTAATTTTATTTTTATTTTAATTTTATTAATTGTGATTAATAAAATTGCGTTTATCTCATCAAGGAGGCCGAATTCGACAAAATATCAAGAGATAACTTTTAATTGGCATTAAACGCCCTACACAATTTTGATATGAAAAGAAAAAAGTCGTGGCGCACATGTTTTCTTTTCGAAAAATATTCCGGTGATCACCCTTATGCACGTCCCTGATGAATTTATCGACACTTGTTTAGCATTAAAATATGTAGCACTTACAGTAACTTTTACCCTCAAAATTTTATTCGAATCAATAAAAGTACTTGGAAGAAAATTATAATAAATCGAAAGATTATTAAGACTTTAACACAATGTAGCTACGAAACAAAGTAGAATCGGACCTATGTTAATATGAAAAATAATCTTATTTTTACGTGAGGAATCTCCCCACTAGAGATGGCACTTGTTTTTTGAAACACCCTGTAATGGAAAGCTTGCACATTAAAAAATATATTTTTAATTATACAGTGCCTGTATAATAAAAAATATATTTTTATATTTTTTACTCGTTTTTTATGTATAACAAATAGTTTTTTGCGTTTAACAAATACTTTTTTACGTGTAACAAATAATGTTTACGTCTAACAAATAGTTTTATACGCGTAAAATATAAAACACGTCGCATCACTACGCATTTCTTAAGTTGTAGGCTCACTGTCTCGCTAGTTCGTGTGACACGGCCTTGAATTTTTACTCACAGCGCGCGTCCTTACAAAGTTTCGTCTCGCCTGTCGTCTCGCTAGCTCGTCTGTCAGGGCCTTCAATTTTTACTACCAGCGCGCGTGAAGAAGTTTCACTTCAAAAATATTTTATTTGATCTGTACTAGTAATTGCTAAACATGTCATTTTTGGTCATAATAATAAATGTTGTTTCCGATTGTGATGAAAAATACGGTATGATTAACTAGTGTCACTCTGACATTGAATTTACATTTTTCATTTTACTGGTATACACCAAAGACACCAAGTTTGGATCACTTAGTATTTATAGTACCTTTATAGTACTTAGTATTTTTCGTGATGTATTAGAAAAAAAAATGTATAATTTTTAACTATATAGCATAGAAAATTTTTGAACGTATAATTTCCAGGAAAATTTATTGAGCGAGTCTCGAATTCCCACACGAATCAAGGCTCAAAACAATGGCGGCGTTCGAATTTCCTTGAATAATATGTCTAAGGCGTTTACCAAATCCACCAGTGATTTAACTAAGTCATCAGGAAATGACAGGTACGAGACGATGCCCCATAGAAGAACAAGTCGCATCACGGTAAACGCCAATTTAAATAAAAGCAGTGAAACGCCAAGCGGTATATTAAAAAATGTAGCCGTCGATTCAGGAAAGAACCTTACTGCTCAAAAATCCATCACGTTCGGAGAAATGTAAGCTGTTTGGATGTTGTCTGAATATGGTGTCCGATTTTTTTTCTTCGGCGGAAACTAACCTCCGATATTCAACTAGTTATACTTCTGTTATTAATATCAGCTATTCTTTTAATCATAAAACTACTTAAATCTGTATATTCCCTTTGTCGTCTTTAACATATCCCTTCATTTATTTCACTTAAACGATCTAATTAACTTATGTAAATACTATAGGTTAGTCCCGCTCACGTACATAATAATATAAAAGCAAAGCCAATTTAGAGAGATAAATATATTAGAACTGGGGATAAGATAATAACCTGTCCTATACATTACTATACTAATTCAAATTTAAATGGTTTTTCAGATTCCAGTGATTTATTATATTGATTACAATCTCAGTTCAGTTGATTTCAATTATCAATATATTACGCTCGCCAAGAAATCAATAATACAATATAAATATATATATAAATATATATATATTCTATTAATTTTTAATGTATTTTATATTTTAAGTTTTATACCCTCGATATCAAAGGTTGATTGTTTTGAAGCTAAATATTAGGCTTTCTCTATGGATACAACTGACTAACCCAAGCTGTAGCTAGGATATTCTATTAATTTTAATTGTACTTTTTAGACATTGTGAATGATAGTAAACTAAAAAGTGTAAAGTGTAATTGAAACCACTAATTGCGAGGTTCTGAATGAAGATTTACTTTGAAATATTTTTATATTATTTGGAACGTTTAGGAGTAAAAATGACATTTTTTGTGGCGAGGCTGTACTTTTAGTGTTGCGCTAGCGTCCGGGCACGGGTCGTCTGGCTTTCGAAGCGGAAGCATCTCGAACTCCAAGCGAATCTTCCTCCACTCTACCTTCATATGTAAATAATAGCTTTCAATCAACGATAATAGTATCAATCACATCGACTCTTTGTCGATCTCGACCTACTATAGTAGAGTTCGAGACGCTTCCGCTTCGAGTTTGAGACGACCCGTGCGTGCACGATCTTAGCGTCTGGCATCGAACTTAATCTAAATTGTTTCTCGGCGAGATTTGTAGCGATGAAAGAGCGTATTGTGGTTTATTTCGTTTACAACACGCAGCGTGTTATACGAACTGTATCCCACCTGTCTTCGTCAGTCTTTAGCTTAGTATAGAAACAACATACTGTAAAGAATAAAAGTCACTGTTACTGTAGTTATTACTATATCTCTAATTTGGTTCTGCTTTGTTTCGATTTTCATAACTTCGTTAGATATGATACGGCGTTGTTTCTTTTTCAGAAAAAAAAACAAGTTTGGTTTTTTTAGAAAATGAAGTAATTACATAGTTATCATAAAAAAATATAAAGTTCGCCATAAAGTATTAATCTCTATGTAATAACAAAATAATTTAGTAATTTATTTCTTGAAAGAACTACAGACCCGTAGCTCATCTACAAAGAATTTATGAAAGTTGTGTTGTACTTACTTATAAACTATTTCTTACTTGGATTATCCTCTGTTAGTAACGATCAAACCTTTATTAGCTGTATATGAAATTAAAGTTGTTGCTTTATATTAACGTACGTTTTTCATTTTAGGCCAATCCTGATTAAAGAAAAGACTCCTACGACAACATGAACCTCCGACTGTTAGCTGCAGTGCAATTGTGTGTACACTTTACAAATATTAAGCTAAGTCAAGCAATTTATATATATTTTTTGTATAATTTATTTTAATACATATACGAATCTAGGTTATGTTATTTAAATTAAAACCAATTTAATATTCGTGCCGATTTTAATTGTGATAATAATTTTCCCATCTACTCTGTATTTATTTTTATAACAACATTTATATTGCCAATAAAATATTGTATTAATTAAGGTATTTTATATTTTTACTTCCAAATCAAAGGTTTTGTCAAGTTTAGAAATATAGTTTTAGAAACATATCAAACCATATGCGGATTTACGCCCCGCCCCACCAGTGGATCGATCCAATGCAATTTGCTGGACATTCAGCAATTATGCAAAATTTCTAACTTAAGACGTTTTTTGAATAAACGTCTTCTAAAATCTTTAAATTTGTTAAAAATAGTCATAACTTTATTATAGATAAGTAATTTATTGAATAGTGCAGGGATGTTTTTCCAGAATATATATTTTATTTGAATTTCTGTATTAAATTGACTATTTCAAATTAAACTATATAATTTCATACTTATTCCAAAACATAATGAACTTTCTTTATCATATTTTTATGTTATATGAATTATGACCTTGCAATTTGTCCAGTTTTTTAATACCAACATGTATTCAATAACAATAATTTTCAGTCTTATTATTATATAGCATATCACAAAAAAATAAATTTTAATCTAGAGTTTAAAAAAAAGCTTAAATATGCATAGAAGAAGAAGAAATTTAGCTTTCAAGCCTCATCAACATCAAAGGCTGTTTAGCGGCGTATCACCTGCTATTTTAGTTCGGTACAATATTTGACATTTTACTAAACAACACGTTTATAGACAGATTGTATATGTTAACAGTACAGACATGGATTTTGTAAAAATAAAAAGTAAATGGTACAGACAACATAGAATAAAACAATAAAACGTAAAAATATGTACAATTGAATTATTAATTGGTTGCTTTAATCCAAAATGTAGCTTTTTAGATACCTATATTTTAGATATATATCCCGATCTTTCAAGAAAATCAAAAAGTTTTGGTTGCTCACTTGTAGAAAAAATAACTGACATGTCTGACGAAAGATTACAGGCCTCTCTTAGGTTAATTAACTGACTACATTCCTTAAGGATATGTTTGACAGTTAAAGGATTACTACATTTATCACATAGAGGCGGTGGTTGGCCCTTAAGCAAAAATTGATGAGAAAACCTACAATGTCCTAATATGTCCGTGAATTATTACGGCTTTGTGTCCGTGAATTACTACGGCTTATTTTTTTTTCGATCATAACTTGATGTGGAGAAATCACAGAAGAATGTCTTTTTGACATTCCAGAGTTTGTTAGGTTCCTCCAGAAGATCCCACTTCAGTTGAACCAGGGATTTTCACAGTCGGGCGATTTTTGTGAGTAGACAACCCGTGGAATAAACTGATAACATATCTGTAGACGTGCATTTTTCGCGTAATGATCAGCGCTTTTATTACCGGTAATGTCCACATAGCTAGGGATCCACAATACAGATATATTGGAGCCTAGGCTAGTTGCCCTATGTCGTAAATCCATTATATGTGCTTCCAAAGGATGTTGGGGTAAAGTTTTTCTATACATAGTAGAGCAGATAATGAATCCGAGCATAGCAGCCAAGAAGCCCAATGACAAGAAACAATATATATTAGAGCCTCCTTAATGGCTCTGTGGTCTAAAGCACAACCAGTGTGAACACTTGTTACTGAACCATCAGTATAAATTATGTTTTCAGGATTGCATTTGGATGATATTTCAGCAAATTTGATTCTCATAAATGAGCCAGGTACAGAGCGTTTGTCATGTACTAACAAAGATTTGCATACTACGGGAGGAGGAATAATCCAAGGCGGATTATTTGGAGGATTTCGGGACACACATGGGGGTAGAACAAATTGCGTATATGTCAAGGTCCGAATGAATCTGTTACCAGATCCCTTGTTCTTATCATTGTTGACAGTTACGTTGCCATTAGGGCGATAAAAATTCTTATATACTGGAATGAAAGGACGAGATTTTAAGGTAGCAGCATATACTAATAAAGATTCAAGACGTTGTGTATGGCGAATGTGACGTCTTTGGGCGAATGTGAAGAGTGATAGAAAAGTACATCATCTGCATACATCCTAAATTTAAGCCACCAGTAAAACATAAGGACATATCATCGATAGCAATGTTGCACAAAATTGGGTTTAGTACTGATCCTTGAGGGAGGCCCTTTTCAAGGAAGTGGGAAGAGGAGGATATACCTTCAACCCTTACTCTAAAAGTACGACCTGATAGAAAGTTTTTTAAATAATTCATCATATTGCCATTTAGTCCAATATTAATGAATTTTTTTATAAGGGAAGGCCTTGAAACAGTGTCAATGGCTGATTTTATATCTAATGAAACTGTTTGATGTGATTTTTTATCTAATGAAACTAATAATTTTATATCTAAAGAATCCTTAATAAGGCCATGAATGGATCTTGAGGGTCTACCTTTAAAACACCTGATAGTATTCCAAAAGTCGGTAGAGGAAGAAGCAGACAGAGAATCAATTATAGCAATCCAAGAATTGCGTTTAGCAAGGGATATGGTTAGTTTTGCCTTTGCTCTAAGTCTCTTGTACTGTATAAAGTTATCCTGCGTAGGATGATGTTTAAATCTGGATAGAGCGGTTTTTCTTTGTCTGATGGCTAAATGACAGCTATCTGTCCACCATGGAGCAGGTGGACGATCTGACCTAAAGGTGTAAGAAGGAATGGAAAGATCAGCTGCTTCTTTGATGACATTGACCATACGATCAATGTTTCCATTAACATCTCCAGGGATTACCGGCGGCTTATTTATTATTGTTTGGTACTTAATCCAATCAGCCTTAGACAAGTTATATATTGATCTATGTGGAATGTAAGGAGACCATGAGAGAAAACAGAGAATAATCGGGAAGTGGTCGCTGCCACACAAATCCTCTAATACAGTCCATTGTATTTTTGGTGCTAAAGATTGGGAGCTAAGGGATAGATCAATTGATGAAAAAGAACCTGACGCCATTGAGAAATGGGTTGAAGAACCAGAATTGAGCAGATAGATCATATTATTTTCCATAAGAGTTTGCATAAGAAGGCCTCTTGCATCGGTGCGAGGAGAGCCCCATATATGATTGTGAGCATTAAAATCGCCCAATAGGAAGCAAGGTTGCGGTAGTTGAGAATACAGATCTTGTAGATCTTTCAGAGTAATTTGCATTGAGGGAGATAGGTATATGTTGCATATTGTTATGGAAGTTTGCAGTTGGATGGTGATAGCTACTGCTTCAAGATTTGTATCTAAAGAGAAGTCAGAATACGCAATGCTCTCGCATGTATTAAGAGAGCAACTCCACCTGAGGCTCTGACAGCACCTTCTCTATTTTTTTTAATTATGTTAAAATGATTAAAGTGTGGAACGTCTGAGTTGTTTAGATTTGTCTCTTGGAGAGCTACGATAGAAGGTTTATGCGTATTTAATAATAATTTAAGTTTATCCCTTCGAATTATTAATCCATTAATATTCCATTGTATTATAGTGTTACGTTTTTCGTCGGTTCCGTGTGGATAGAAAGTCACAATTTATTTAAACACTATTTATTTAAACACTATTTATTTAACACTAATTAACAAAAACAATAACGATAAAAGACTTATAGAACTATTTACAAACGATTTATAACTAAGAATTTATTTTGAATTTTAGCGCTTCAACTGCACTCGTCTATTTATAACTGCCCTCTGTAGGCCACAGCCGCCGGCTTTTATATCGACAGCTAAAGAACTCTAGAATAGTCCATAGATCGTTAGGTCATAGAGAAGGTTTCGATTGTTCTCGTATGTACTACTTCATTCCAGTGGAACTCGTTTCTTCTCGAATCTTCGAATGAATCATTATTTGAAGGTATTTGCAAAGCTGGCTCCTGGTACATTGCGAAGTCTGGTAGAAATAGCAGTCTACAGTTTTCTCTCCCGATCTCAGCTTTGGGTTGTAGCAGCAAACAAGGATCTCGATTCCCGTAAATCTGAACAAGACTTTAATCATGTTCCGGATTGCACGCCAACTCAAACCATCGAGTCCACACGCCAGCTTCGGAATGGCTAATCGTGCAATGTTGTTGTTTAGCAGGGCTTCTCTCAGTTCAATCAGGGTCTTCCATAGATTGAGATTAATCGGCTTACTCGGGGACCATTCCTTGATGACCAGGTAGAAGATGTGTCTTGCTTAACCATGTGCATTGTCGGTTAGCCTCAAGACGCTTCCAACCTCTGGATCCTGTCGGCGTAGTTCTCCGACACGCCCAAACTTCTCATTGAACGTCGCAGCGATTCCTCTGGACATCCGCAAATCTCGGGCCACACAATGAGCGAGCGAATAATCAGGAGGCACGGAAAAGAGGTCTCGTTGATCTTCTTTGGTTACACCAAAGCGAGCCTTCTCACTGCTGTTGTATCGGGCCATGAAATCGTCAAAGGACATCTCCGAATCAGGGGGATCAAAGCTGCAAGTTCTCACGGTCCCAGCACGATCTTCTATTTCGCCTTAGTAGGGGCTCAAACGGTTGAAATGGACTACCCTCGGTTTTCCTTTTGGCAATTTTCTGATACGATATACGACGTTATTTCTGATACGATATACGACGACATATCCATGACTTCGTATGGCCCTTCCCACGAGGATTGTAGCTTCGGAGATACAACCCACGACGTCTCTGCGGGTTGTATAGCCACACCAACTTCCCTGGTTGGTATCCTCCATGCTCAGCTTGAATGTCATAGTGTTCCTTCATTCGGTCACTAGCTCTTTGAATATTTAGGCGGACTCGCTGATGGATGTCGTCAATTCTTTGACGTAGTGTGTGGACATAATCTTCTCCGGCGACTTCTTCTCCCGGTCGGCAACCAAATTTCAGATCACAAGGTAGGCGCACTTCCCGTCCCATAACGATGCTGGCTGGAGTTTGCTCTGTAGATTCTTGGATGGATGAACGGTAGGCCAACAGGAACAGGTGAAGAAATTTGTCCTAGTCTCTTTGGTGGTCAGAGACTACTTTGGCCAGATAACAGTTGATAGTTCTGTTCATGCGTTCAACCATCCCATCGGATTGTGGGTGTAGAGCAGTCGTCCTGGTCTTGCGGA